ACTGAAGGGAGTTACAGAAATGCAACCCAGGCAGTGACGCACCATCGGTGCTGCAATGGAACTCAGGCTTCCTATTATTATTACAAACTGCTTGCACTTCGAACCAAGCAACATCAGCAGCGCACAGAGCGCTTAAGCACCCAGTGAAAGGGGCCTGAATATTACTTCCACACCCATCCTTCTCGGTCACAGCAGGGAGCTCCTGAAAGCTGCATTTTTTGATCCACTGGCGATGCGTGAATGCTGCAACAGATTACCAAAAAATCTCTTCAGTTAGACTGCAAGCAAATGTGAGAAACTGAAGGGGTCATCGAAGAGGCCAGTCTCGAACATCCCGATAAACCTACGTTCTGGTCGTATGTCCCGATCGATCCTAGGACAGCGAAGCATTTACGAGTTTGATCCGTGACAAAAGATGGAGGGGAGACCTGCATGTAAGCGGCCCTGTCATCGCTACAATAATATTAGCAATCACATCATTCACTCTTCGCTCCAACTTGCGCCTCAGCATAAAGTATTATAATAAGTATAATAATAATGATAACAGTAATAGCAGCAATAACAATGTTAATAATGATAATAAGAGCAATAATAACAATAATAGTGATAATAATAAAGTGACAACAATAAGAGTAACAAATAATAGCAATAATGTTAATAATAGTAATAATGATAACAATAATAATAGTAACAACGGGAGTAACAATAATAATGACAACAAGAATGGTAACAATAATAATCCCACTTCAGCAGTGTATGGCAAACCTAGTATTTCACTGTAGCTGACGAGATGCAGCTAAAATTCGCTTGCTGATCATCTGAACCTGCATAAAAAGCAGTCCCGTTCAAGTGTCCCGAAGCCGGAATGTTTGTTCGTTACTGTATTATTCAAGCAACGCAACTCAGCAATTATTTCAGCAAGGCCGGTTCCCAACCCGGCCAACTTTTTGACCCGTTCACGGCCCCGCCTTTCGTACCTGCCAGGGCTGATAGGGCTCGAGCATGAAACCCTCGGACTATGCTTGCTGCTGCTGCTGCTGCATGCACTGTACTGGCGAGCAGTGCAGTTCAGTTCAGTTCAGTGAATGATCAAAATGGAAACACCAACGATTGCTGGGATGCGGCCGCAGCCACTTTGATGAGATCGATATCGTCCTCGAGCTGAGCCAGGGGCACATCCGGGACTCGACAATCCACGTTGTTCTCCTCGCCCATCTCCGCAGCCACAACCATCACAGCACTGCGCCTGCCACGCGCCTCCTCGGCCCAGCAACAGAGCACTGGCCGCCGCTGCCGCCGCAAAGAGCCAACAGAAGAGACGCAACAGAGCCCAGCACCCTCCTCCTCCTCCGCTGCACCCTCCTACCAGCAGCAGCAGCACTGCACACCGACAACGCGCCCGCCCCAGCACCCGGCCAGCAGCAGCGCAACTGAGTCCTGGGACGGGACGCTTTTTGCACTTGCTGATTTGCCGCATCCAAGCGACTCGCCAGGTTGCGCGAGCAAATCCTGGCTCGCTCGCTCCGCTTCGAGGTCGAGATGCGGTGACTGGGATGGTAGTGAGGGCGCGGGGGCGGTGGAAGGAAGAGAGGGGGATGAGGCCGGGGTGGTGGGTTAAATCTGGGAGGTCGTAGGGGAAAGGGCGGGGTTTGGTGGGAGGTAGGGACCGGAAATAAGGGGGTTTATAGAGAGAAGGGGAGGG